AGCGTCGTGATGAAAATAACCGTAACTGACGGAAGATCGACAAAATCTTACCAAAATCTTAAAAGTCCATCGATTACTTTTCCTACGACGTCTTAAAGTACCCGGATCTGCCACTGAAGTCAGTGCAGATTATGATGTCAGAAGCGCAAAGTCATTCGAAGTCTTTCCTCTCGTATTATATATCGAAATAATACGCACGAGTTCTGTCGCATCGCCATCATTCGCGTTGGATGCAGAAGATTCATAAAATACCAAGATAAAATACCAAGAAGTGCCAAGATTTTTCCTTTTTCTCGGTTTCTTCCATTGATAAATGGCGCGAGGGGAAAATTTATTTTTTATTATCTCTCAAATTTAAATCGTAGAAATAATCTTCCAATTTCGATTGTTTCTAAATGCAAAATATTCAAGTGTATATTTTTATTAAGAAGAAATCTTGATTCAAGGCTGGTTTATATTTTGAAATCAACTTTTACATTATATCTAAAAAGATAATGTACACTCTCCCTCATAAGTTATATGATAATACCCTAGAATCTAGAACAGTCTTAGATACGAAATACCGACAGTAAGAATTCTCAAAACCCGCCTATTCTGGTCTCAACTTTTAACTTAGATAAAGCTAGAGGAAGCAAAAGTAGTAATTCTTCCCGAAACAAAATGTAGCAACTCGTAAAATTAACATTTACATTGCTGAAAGTATCGTGCGTTACCTTAGAGATCGGAAGTACCGCCTGTATATCGTCCTTCTGTATTTCCAGCCGCACCTGCAGCTTTCGCTTCTCGGCATGATGATGATGATGATGTTGCAGCTGGTGTTGCATTCGTTGCTGCAACTGATCGACGGCCGTCAACTGCGAGCCCTTCTCGTCCTCGCCCTGGAACTCGTAACGTACACTCCATACGATTTTACCACCGTCCCAGCTTCCGTCTATGCTGTCCTCGCTGGCCTCCAGCAGCATCGTCATTACTTCTTCCGCGGATCTGAAACGTGACAACAGTGATTTTTTGAAAAATATCCGCGTAATAAATCGAAATTAGCGAGAGGAATGTAAGCTTTACTATTCAAAAGAACCAAAGAGAAGAGAATCTCTTCACGAAAATGGAAAAATATTTTCAAACAACCTAGTTTTCTTTAACAAAACTGTCCTAATTTTTTACATAAATCGTAATAGGCGTAAAAAGTTATAAAGGTAAGATAGCCAAAAATTGAATAGTTTACAAGATATTTTATACTTTAATTTGACATAATTTTACATAAATTATGAAATATCTCGCAAAATATTCATTTTTTATCTTACGTCAATAATTGTATGTATGAAATAATGAGAAAAATTAATTGGTATAAGATAACACATTGTTTCTCTGAAAAGCATATAATAATAAAAACGAGAGAAATGTAAGCTTTACTCGAAAGAAAAAAATCAGAGAGAAGAGAATCTCTTCATGGAAACGGGAAAATATTTCCAAACAATCTACTTTTTTTTTTTAACGAAACTATCCTAATTTTTTATATAAATCGATATATTTTATTAAGAAGAAATCTTGATTCAAGGCTGGTTTATATTTTGAAATCAACTTTTACATTATATCTAAAAAGATAATGTACACTCACCCTCATAAGTTATACGATAATACCCTAGAATCTAGAACAGTCTTAGATACGAAATACCGATAGTAAGAATCCTCAAAACCCGCCTATTCTGGTCTCAACTTTTAACTTAGATAAAGCTAGAGGAAGCAAAAGTAGTAATTCTTCCCGAAACAAAATGTAGCAACTCGTAAAATTAACATTTACATTGCTGAAAGTATCGTGCGTTACCTTAGAGATCGGAAGTACCGCCTGTATATCGTCCTTCTGTATTTCCAGCCGCACCTGCAGCTTTCGCTTCTCGGCATGATGATGATGATGATGTTGCAGCTGGTGTTGCATTCGTTGCTGCAACTGATCGACGGCCGTCAACTGCGAGCCCTTCTCGTCCTCGCCCTGGAACTCGTAACGTACACTCCATACGATTTTACCACCGTCCCAGCTTCCGTCTATGCTGTCCTCGCTGGCCTCCAGCAGCATCGTCATTACTTCTTCCGCGGATCTGAAACGTGACAACAGTGATTTTTTGAAAAATATCCGCGTAATAAATCGAAATTAGCGAGAGGAATGTAAGCTTTACTATTCAAAAGAACCAAAGAGAAGAGAATCTCTTCACGAAAATGGAAAAATATTTTCAAACAACCTAGTTTTCTTTAACAAAACTGTCCTAATTTTTTATATAAATCGTAATAGGCGTAAAAAGTTATAAAGGTAAGATAGCCAAAAATTGAATAGTTTACAAGATATTTTATACTTTAATTTGACATAATTTTACATAAATTATGAAATATCTCGCAAAATATTCATTTTTTATCTTACGTCAATAATTGTATGTATGAAATAATGAGAAAAATTAATTGGTATAAGATAACACATTGTTTCTCTGAAAAGCATATAATAATAAAAACGAGAGAAATGTAAGCTTTACTCGAAAGAAAAAAATCAGAGAGAAGAGAATCTCTTCATGGAAACGGGAAAATATTTCCAAACAATCTACTTTTTTTTTTTAACGAAACTATCCTAATTTTTTATATAAATCGATTCCTCGTAATAGATGTAACAGGCGTAAAAAGTTCTAAAAATAGGATAACCAAAAATTGAATAGTTTACGAGATATTTTATTCTTTAATTTGACATAATTTGACATAAATTATGAAATATCACGTACAATATTCATTTTTGATCTTACGTCAATAATTTTATGTACGGAATAATGAGAAAAATTAATTGGTATAAAGATAACACAGTTGTTTCTCTGAAAAGTATGTAATAAATAAAAATTAACGAGAGGAATGTAAACTTTACTACTTGAAAAAAAAAGAAAAAACGAGAGGGAAAAGAGAATCTCTTCACGGAAATGGAAAAATATTTCCAAACAATCTAGTTCTTTTTAACAAAACTATCCTAATTTTTTATATAGATCGATCCCCGTAATAGGCGTAAAAAGTTATAAAGGTAGGATAACCAAAAATTGAATAGTTTACGAGATATTTTATTCTTTAATTTGACATAATTTGACATAAATTATGAAATATCACGTACAATATTCATTTTTGATCTTACGTCAATAATTTTATGTACGGAATAATGAGAAAAATTAATTGGTATAAAGATAACACAGTTGTTTCTCTGAAAAGCATGTAACGAATAAAAATTAACGAGAGGAATGTAAACTTTACTACTCGAAAGAAAAAACGAGAGAGAAGAGAATCTCTTCACGAACAGAAAGGAATTTCCGACGAAAATTCAATAACTGGACGTTTCAAAAGCGAAGATCAGAAGCAATAGGTCTTATGTTAATAGGAATTCGTAACTCTGTAACAATGACAAAGTTTTCGCGAAATATATACATATGTAGATATACCGGATTCCTCGAAAGTTCGAGGATAATCCATGGAAGCTGCGTATCACCGATAAAAGAGATCCGTTTGCAGCAGTTTGTATATATACGGGTTTCTGCCACGGATACGAACAAATGAGTTCGTTCATCTATTCGTGCTTGCGCGAGTGTAAACACACTCTTCGCGATTGATGCTATTTCCTACTGATGTGAGAGAGTTCGTGAGAACAAGCGCAAGAATTAAAAGGAACGAAAACTCGCCTGTTGTTATCCGACTGTTGAATTGGCAAATAGAAAATCGTTGCTTTCGCGCGACGAGCTTTGTATTTTCCACAATGCACACTAACAGAGAGAGAGAGAGAGAGAGAGAAAGGACGTCTGTCCAAAATATCTTTACCGCTTATGTTTAGCTGCATACGATTCTGCGGCTCATTCATATTTTACAACGAGCAACGGGCAACATAAAATTACCGTGAAATGAGCTATTTCCACGAAAATTAAACCAAAATTAAGCATTCATAGCTATGTAAATTTAATTATACTGATTAAGATCTATAAATTTATTAAACGTAATTAAACGCGGGCAGCAAAATAAATAAAACGTTACTTGGTGTAACGCTAACACATCTACATTTATGTTGAAGATAAAATATTTGGAATTATGTAAAAAATTTAATTATACATTTTTCAAAATTGCGAAAGTGCGTGTTTTTTATCCGAAAATTAAACGTCAAGTTCCCAGCCCCGTTACGCGGGATCATCGAGATTCTTATCGCGAATCTTATCGAAGGTAAGGACGGTTATATCTTCAAGGTAATTATCCCGCAGGCCTCAAGCTATACCTGCCTATCTAAGAGGAGCAGCATCACACGCGTCGCATTCGCATCTGATTTCGATGCGAGCGAGAAGCGAGAGTCGTCGCGCCTGCATAGAATCTCGATAAGCGAAACCCCCCTGCGGGACGAAGTCACCCCCTTCCCTCTCCGCCCTTTCCACCCTTATCGCGGCCGTCGATCTACGGTTGCGTGCGTGGCGGCCGACGTTATCCTCGAAACCTACCCAACCCCTCTCCCTCCTCCCTCTCCCTCCCGCCCAAGCAATCGACGAAGCGGCGTAAATCGTCGATTTCGCGGAAGTCGAAGGCGGAATCAATGCGGACCATCGGCGGGTTAAGGGTGATAACGAGAGAGAATATCGCTTCTACCTCCGCCCTGCTCTTCCCGCCGACTTTGTCGGCGTCGCTGGCGTCAGCACAATACAACGCTTCTCTGCTGTCTTCCTTTCTTTATCAGCGCCTCGCGATACGGTGGTATATAAGGCCGATCCGTTCGGCCGTTCTGTCGTAATTTGTCTTTCGCGTGAATCGATCATGCGTCGCGGCGCGTTATTGTTCCTCGCGGGTACGCTGCTCGCGTTACTCGCGAGAATCCCCGATGTCCGGGCGTATCCCACGGAGGATCGGGACAACGCGTTAACGACGACAGTTGCCGGCGTGGACGAGAAGAATTCGTCATTTCAAGATTTGTGTCATTTCAAAATATGTGCTATGAATGAGACTGGAGCTAGTCCGATAATTTCTGAGATTGCCTTATCACTCAGCGCAGAGCAGAGTGTTGATGAGCATGCGAAGAGAGACGCTTATAAAGATGTCAGTATGGAGACCTTCCAGGACGAGGAGAAGGAATTTCAGCGTGTGAGGCGTGCGTCGAAGAGGAAGGGTAAAGAGAATGGCAACGATGATGACAGCAGTAGTAGTTCTTCCAGCGACGACGACAGCGATGACAACGATGATCATCAAAAGAGCCCGAAACGATGCGTGAAATCTAAGAAGGATGACGACGACGACGACGATTGTGATAACGATCGTAAGAGCAAGAAACAAAGCGTGAAATCCAACAAAGATGACAACGATTGTGATGATGATGATGATGATGATGACGATGATGATGATGATGATGACGACGACGACTCATCGTCTTCTTCTTCTTCGTCTTCGGAGGAAAATAAGAAAAAACGAGAGAAAAGACATATCGAAGATGATAGTCTGGAAGATGTATCATCACCCAAACGAGAGAAGAGACATATCGAAGATGATAGTCTGGAAGATGTATCATCACCCAAACGAGAGAAGAGACGTATCGAAGATGATACTTCGGAAAGTGTATCATCGCCCAAACGAGAGAAGAGACGTATCGAAGATGATACTTCGGAAAGTGTATCATCGTCCGAAGAATTAAAAAATCAGACGAGATTTATGCGAGGTGTATCGGAGAATTACTCGTCCGGGGAAAAAAATAATCCGACGAATCGACATGTCGGAGAGGTTGGCTCGAAAAGCGAATCATCATCCAAAGAGGTGGACAAATCGAAAGAGTCGGGATTGATCCGAATTCCTTTATTCCGAACAGATGGGGAGAATAAACAGAAGAATCGATTTGTCAGATCGTTCCAAGATACTTCAGACGGTATTATATCATCGTTCGAAAAGACGGGCACCCTGAATCGATTTATCCGAGGGCTCGATACTTCGGAAGAAAGTAAATCGTCCTTCTCGAAAGAAAGGAATGAACCAAAGAATCAGCTTGTTCGGTCAACCGAAGATTCCACGAGTAAATTGTCGTCTGAAAAAAGTGATAAAGCCCTTTTCCTTATTCCTCCTTACATCGAAGATGTTAGTCGTTCGCACAGTACCGTAAAGCAAACTGACAAACCGCACAATCGAGTGACTCGATCGAACGACGGCAAGAAGAAGAAGAAGATACAGAAGAAGAAGAAGAATACGAAGACGAAGCGCCATTGTACGCCCAAGGCGACTACTCCTAAGGTGGATACTCATGAAACGATGCTACCAACGGATCATCTTCCGGTTTGATATATAGCATTAGTCCCCAAAGTTTATTTTCTTTACATCACAAATACGATATTTACAAAGAGTTTACATTATATAAAGTTAATGCAATCTGAATACTTTTACTTGTACGTTTAATTAAACTCTTAAAATCGCAGTAAATATATATTCAAATATAAAGTTTATTTGTTTTTTATTAACCGTCCAAGTTTAATGAAAATGAAGATTAAAAGAGAAGATTTAGAATCTTTTATAAATAATTATATATAAATAAATCTATAATTATTTCTGGAAATTGACGGATCCATAATTATTTAAATAATAATCCATGAATATAATTTTTATTAAGTAAGGCGTTTTAATATAAGATGTTTTGTTTTGTATTAAAATATTATAATAAAATATTATGCCATAAAGTTTCGTTAAGTCGACATACATATGTTGGTGAGCTTAGAAAGATTTTCGCTGAGATTGTAACATGAGAACAGTTAATGCAATGAGCAATTTAAATCCCTCGCTTCTCTCCATTCGTTTAATTGAAAATGCTGCGAATTAAATTCCGCCGCGAAACGACACATAAAACGAATTTCTCGGCAATTGAGCGAAAAACCGCAAAATTTTATTTCAATATTGCACAATAATCAATTTTTTTATGTTATTGATAATTATTTAAAGTTTAAACCAACTCCTTTTTTTTTTATATTTCTAAATCTTTTAATTTCGGAACAAATATGCTTATAAATTTTTTACATCGAGTTAAATGTTCAAAAAAAAAAATACTATAAAAATCGATTTAAAAATTAACATCTCAAATAAAGATTTTTTAAATTATATAATCAACATTTTATAATATATATTGTTTAATTTGAAAGTTGAACATTATTGATTTGAAATTTGCCATTAATAATTTATCTTGATGCCATATACGCGTCTTATTTTATCAACATTTATGATCGAAAAATTATTCCTGCGTCAATTTTTTAAAAAAATGTGAGGTGTACTTACGTGCTTAATATACGCGATGTCGTCTCCTTGCGCCTTGCTGTAAACGTGGCGGCGGTATTTTTCGCGTTTACATCGCTCTGGACGATCCAATCCGGGCTGCTGGACGAGGCATCCAGGATCTTTACCCCGGATTTGACTCTCACTCTGAAACACACGGAAAGTTCGTAATTGTAGCGCAAATTCAAGTACCATTACATTTTGACGTAATATTGGATAAATGGAAAGAATGAGAGATGTGTTCGTGTGTAAAAAATATCCTCTAAAAAGTATAATTAATCCATTATTCTCCATCAATGAATACACACACACACACACACACTGACTCTTATTCGTTAATTTACAAAAAGATCGTTCCGAACCATTCGTTAATTAACAATCTGTACGTATAATTGGCTATTTCGTAATGTAGAAATATGATATTGATCTAGGTTTATTCGTCATAGCTACTATCGAATCATATAATTTGAATTCTTTGGAGAGCAATTAAGATCATTTTTTACAAGTTCGTATACTACTCGAAATTTGCATCAAATGGTAATCTTGATATCGAATCTTGATATCAAATAATAGATATATCCATTTGATATCTTGAAAAAAAAGAGAGAATATTTTATAAAATTTCGTTAAAAGTGGAAATGCATTTTATATTAATCACACCATTATCATCGTTTTTTAACGCGACAATCTCAATTTCTAGACCTTTACAATATTAATTTGTGATCAATAAATAAATACATAAAAGCTTTCAGATATTCCGAAATTAACGCGCGTATGTTTAAGAACTGAAGCAGAAAGACTCGTGTGTTAAAAGTGATAGATTATCAAGTACAATCGTGAGGAAAAAAGCAAGAAATAAAAGAAAATAAAAAAAAAAAAAAGAAAGAGGAGTATACGCTTGGAATATTATACAAGTCACGTATAAAGTTTCAAAACTGTTTCTTTTTAACGAAGACTTATACGAGTACTCCACTCGCGCGCTACTTTCATTACTCATATCACGTCGTATCGATCGCGACTCGCGCGCGTTTCTTTCATCTATCGTATTATTAGCCACGTCCTCTTGTTATTAAAAATGAATGAACATATAGTCCTTCATCAACAAGGCTCGTTGCTCCCCTCTTCTCCATCCATGTAGTTCTAACAATATTCTCAAGTCTGTTTATGTAGTCCCCGAGTTTACCCATATAAAAGTCAAAAATAATAAGTAGCATTTTTTGCGAGAGTATAAATCGATAACTAATATTTACACAATTTTTTAGATACAAGCAACAAAGTAAAAGTATTTATCTTTTCAAGTATATAATACTCAAACAGTTTGCTCCATCGCGAAAGAAATGTTTACACAAAATTTCATGAACTTGAAATAATAAGAAAATCAATAAAGAAAACGCCTACTTCCCTTTATTAAAAATAGAACAATTGCACTGATTAATTTGAGCTACGATTTCTATTCGATGCAATGTCACTTGTGTGTTTGAGAATTCTGAATTATTGGTATCAATGATAAAAATAACGAAAGAGAAAGAAAAGAAATTTTTCGATTCGAAAGCAATCCTATTTTTATTTATACCATCACTTATACTTTTACCATCAATGCGATGCACGTAAACACGCGCGAGGAGAGAAGAAAATAGATAAAATACGAATATAAACTCGCGATAAAGTCAACTTTTTTCTCCATTCTGGAAAGTATTATGTCCTATTATGTCCTATTATGTCCTTTCTCGATCTCGTCAGTTATCTTCGGCGAAGTTGTACGTATCGGTTTTCCGTTCGATCGTTGGACTCGTTCGAGGACCCTTCATGTATGGCATCTTCATGCTTCGAGTATCGGTTCTCGGCTGTCGGCGCAATAATACACCACGCTACCACTTGTCAACGCAATGTCGCGCGCATTCCGGCGCGACAATCGCTTAAAAGCCGGATTATAATCAAAGTAGCGTCTATAATAATGCACTTCGCGTTATATCATATTGCGTTTCGTGACACTTTCCCGACCATCTCTAATCGAGCATCCGTTTGGAATCGAGTCTTTTGGAGGATACAGCAAATTTATTTTACAATTACCAGATTAAATTCTAATTAAATCAATAATTTTTTTTAGAATAGATATGTCATTTCATAGATATTAGATTAAATTCTAATAAAATCAATAATTCTTTTAGAATAAATATGTCATTTCATAAAAGCGAGATTAAGCGTTTATCGATGGTTTCCTAAAAAAAAAGGTAAACAAGATGAAAATTGTGCAAATTAGAAACTTGCACATTGTTTCCTCATCATTTTATTTCGCTCACAAAGTTTAAAACAAATGGGTTTTTCAATTTTGGCTTCCTCATAAAGGAAGATATCTTAAAATTTGCAAAAGTTACAGCGTGGACATTTCTCAAAAAATTCAAAATTTTATAAAAAATGAACCCTTTTACCAATCCTCACCAAATTCAATACCAGCTAATTCTTTAATAATACTCTATTTATTTAAAAAAATTTAATCCGATATCTAAAAATTTGCAAAAGTTAGAGGGTATACAAATATTTCTCAAAAAACTCAAAATTTTATAAAAAAATGTATCCTTCCACCGATCCCCACCAAATTCAATACCAAACATCCTTTAATGATACTCAATTTATGTAAAAAAATTTAACTCGATATCTAAAAATTTGCAAAAGTTAGAGGTTGTAGAAATATTTCTCAAAAAATTCAAAATTTTATAAAAAATGAATCCTTTCACCGATTTTTACCAAATTCAATACCAACCATCCTTTAATGATACTCTATTCATTTTAAAAAATTTAACCCGATATCTAAAAATTTGCAAAAGTTAGAGGTTGTAGAAATATTTCTCAAAAAATTCAAAATTTTATAAAAAATGAATCCTTTCACCGATTTTTACCAAATTCAATACCAACCATCCTTTAATGATACTCTTTATTTAAAAAAATTTTGCCCTATATCTCAAAAATTTTTTAAAAATATAATTTTTCGTCGTTTTGGGACATTCTAAACACATCGAATATAAAAAATTGGAAAAAAAGTTTTGTCACGGAAACAAAGCTTCCTCTATGAGGAAGCAGAAAGGTAGAGAAGTAACAAAATCATATCTTTGAATTCAGGGAAATTTCCAAGTATACTTAATAAAATCTATTTCGAAACTGTTACACAAGTATATTTCCATATAAAAATCATCTCGAAATTGGCCAAAGGAACAGCGATATGATGAAATGAAAATAGAATCTGGGACGCTTGGCATAATCATAAAACGGTATGTGCATGACAGATAGCTGCGCGTGACATTCAAAAATGAATCCTTTCACCGATTCTTACCAAATTCAATACCAACCATCCTTTAATGATACTCTTTATTTTAAAAAATTTTGCCCTATATCTCAAAAATTTTTAAAAAATATAATTTTTCGTCGTTTTGGGACATTCTAAACACATCGAATATAAAAAATTGGAAAAAAAGTTTTGTCACGGAAACAAAGCTTCCTCTATGAGGAAGCAGAAAGGTAGAGAAGTAACAAAATCATATCTTTGAATTCAGGGAAATTTCCAAGTATACTTAATAAAATCTATTTCGAAACTGTTACACAAGTATATTTCCATATAAAAATCATCTCGAAATTGGCCAAAGGAACAGCGATATGATGAAATGAAAATAGAATCTGGGACGCTTGGCATAATCATAAAACGGTATGTGCATGACAGATAGCTGCGCGTGACATTCCTCCTTTCGATCTCGAGATTCTCGCGTTGGATTTCTCAAAAATTCACAGCCGAGGGAGGCGAGTCACGGACGGCTACGCACGTATTCCGACGGAAATTCGGCGACATTGGCGTCGTTTGTCTTCGTCGAGAGTATCCCGCGGACGAATAAGATCGTCTCTCGTGCGTCACGTTTCCCTCATCATCGACTCGCTCGCGCGAACCAGAAAAGGCCGCGCGTTCTTCGTTCCCGAACGCTTACATACTCACGCCCAAGTTACGTGACCGAGTCGCAAGGTCGGTATCGTATGCGGTATACGCGGTATGGGAGAAGAGAGGAAAACGCGACGGAAGAATACCACGTCTATCTGACGCCGGCGACGCACAGATTATTCATCGCCATATCGTGTCCGTGTTAGAGCGTTTGCGGCGAAAAATCAGACGTTGTAGTTGCTGCGATATAGCAAAACCGATAATCCGACCTCAATCCCCTTTGGGTCACATTATCCGAGCTGTAAAACGAGTAATATGCGTGTGATTATCATCCTTATCATTTAAACACTTCGGTTTTATTTTCACATTTTTTTTTTTTTTTTCCTTTGAAAACAACTGCTTCGATATCGACAGATACGAAGTGGTGCTTCAGTTTTATCGAGAAGCGTAATTATTCCGCAGTATAATTCTCTCTCTGACGTAATAGGATACGAAACCGCGTATTATTCAGCCAGAATTATTGGCATTTAAAAAAAAAAAAATAAACAGAATCGAAAGGGAGTGTCGTACATTACGAGAGCCCGTAATAATTTATTCACGATATACCCTGTCACTGATGTGTCAACGCGCATGCCCTTTTCTCGCAATACGTATCCTCGGCCTCGAGGTCATTCCTAATTCAAGGAGGATTTTCAAGCGCGCGAGAGTGCGACCGCTGTAAGCGGATCTCGCGGCGAGCGGAAAAGTGCACCGAGAAAGAAATTCGGGACGTATATATTTTCCGAGACAGGATATTGCCTCTTCAAGTCACTCCGGCGTATTTGCCCGAGTCGAAGAAGCGGCCGGTTAATTCTTATTTAAGGACACCATCGAACGCTCTCCATAATAATAACTCAATTTGCCTCGAAAACGAAGGTAGGAAGGGCCTTCCCTTTGCTCTTATCACCTAAAAAGAGTGAGAGACAGAGCGTACCTTCTTCCCTCTGCTCATACGCGTCATCGTAATCCCCGCATCATATGCGGGGGATCGTAGGAGGAATTCAAAGCGCGGAAACGACATTTCCATGAGACGACGGCATAAAATATTCTTAAGGCGAAATGTCGCCCCGAGAGCGAGATCTCTGATTTGTCGCCCGCTTCTGCGAATATCCTACGTTAAGAGAGGGATGGGCCATTTCCGGTATAACATACTTCGGACGGAAGCGGTCAAGGTACAAAGGATCGT